GTGTGTGTGTGTGTGTGTGTGTGTGTGTGTGTGTGTGTGTGTGAAAGAGCTGTATTTTGATATTGAAGACTCAATCTAGTATTCTAGTTGTAAACCTACCTGTGGTAATAGTAGTGTATATTTTTAATACATTGGTGTAATCCACATTAAACTTTGCATTGATTAGACTACTTTGATAAACTGTTTTGCAACTTGATTGATAATGATCACTTGTGTTTGGGATTTCGTCAAAGAATAACTCAGTACTGCAAAGGTCATCTRCTGGACCAGAAGTAAGCTTGTTTACTTGATGCAGTCACTACAGTGTGAAGTTCCTTCAGCACAGACACTTCCTATATTGTCCTTTGTTAGCAAACRTGGAAAATAAGCATTTGTTYCATAAAAACATCATTATTAACTGTTTGGATAACATTAATGGTCCTTCCCACAAATGTCTAGGGGGAAAARGGGAAGTGTGTAGCCGAGCGCATCCCCCCACGCCGGTGCCAGTGCTTGCACTGTGCTTGAACCTGTGCTGAATGCCAACGGCAGATAATTATAAACCCGCAGGGCAGGCCTCCTCTGTGCAGAGGGAGGAATGGAGCCTCAGCCAAGCCTGAACTCCTGACCTTCTTCACACACCAAGCGTCTGTTGTGGGCTTCGGGAGGTGCAAGATGGGTCACAGCAAACCGTGAGGCAACTGGGASAGAATGAGGGAGAGAGGGGAGCTGAGAGTGGTTGACGGCCAGGGGATAGTAGGAAGGGGGAGGTGAGTGAGGGCTACGGAGGAGGGAGGCCAATGTGGGGGATGGGGGGATAGCAAAGAAGTGCTGAGTTTAGGATGTTTTCTTTCTTTCTTTTTTGCTTGCTTTCTTGCTTTTTCTTCTTTTATTTTATTTTCATTATTATTTGGCCAGATTGTCCGGCCAATCAGAAGGGGATGAAGGAACCAGTTGACAAATACAATGAAACCCACATAAGTGAAATCCCTTTTGTTATGCCATTTGCTTATCTTCTTTTCTTTTCACCATCGGGAAATGCGAGTTATTCAACAACATCTTTGCATACAAAAAACTTTTATTGGTTCATCTTTCAAACTCAGGGTTAGACTATATTCACACTGCAAACAAATGTGACCCAAATYTGATWTTTTTTGCCCCTGTGTGACCCATRTCTATTTTTTGATTMCAATCAGYTACAGAGCAAAAATCCAATTGCTTCATTGTTTTCTTTTAATTTGCCATGTCGTGGATGACTGAGAATCCACAGCAATGTRTGATACTAAGGCTGGTGTTGAACCATATTGTTACTAAAATTATTAGATAGATCAGTTAGTTTCACTTCCAGTAAGTTTCTCCCATTCCAAAAGTACAATGTTGGGTCCAATGTAAACCCTGGACAAAATAAGCAGAACAGATAAYTATTTAATCTGCTCTGCTTGCACAACTTCAGAACTGGATCACACATGGCAACTTATGTAGCATCCATATTTTTATGTCTGTAAAGTCTATGTGCTGAGTGTGACGTCTTCTGCGCACTGGGGTTGCACCAGTGCTGTGGAGAGTTCACACTGGAGTCTGATGGGGGTCACATTTGAAATATAATATAAATGACCAAGCAAAAAATTTTGATTTGAGCAAAAGTCCTGCAGTGTATACTCTTAGTGCCTCTATAGATGCCTCTATGCAACTTCTGAATGGACCAAGACAGCAAGGAGGGTTGAAGCCAGYCGACTCTGATGCTGTTCTGTTGGACATGCAGAGTTCCAAGACTTAAACTGTATGAAGCAGTTGTTTTTATCATGATTATTCCTTGACTCAGTTGGTGTTCAGATGGTATCAGAAGGTATTCGACTGTGTTCCTTGAGCCACACTGTGGGGGCTGCTCTGTGAGTATGGGGTTGTGGGTCCATTGCTATTATGGGCCATTCAGTACAAGCGATGCAGTGGTCTGGTTTGCAGATCAGTGYAGCTTCTGCAGTATTRTAGACTCTGTACTCATCAGYTGTGGTGAAGAGGGGGCTGAGCTATAAGGCAAAACTTTGTGTTTACCTGTCAGTGTACCTTCTTACCCTCACCTATGGCCACAAATTTTGGGTAGTGACCAAAAGAACGATATCACAGATACGGGCAGTCAAAATGAGTTTTCTCCACAGGGTAGCTGGACTCTCACTTAGAGAGAGGGTGAGAAGTTCAGTTATCCAGGAGAGAATAGAGCTGCTGCTCCCGCATATCAAGTGAAGCCAGCTGAGGTGGTCAAGGCATCTGGTAAGTGCACCTCCTGGATGCCTCCCTGGGGAGTTGCTTCAGGCATGTCCAACTGGGGGGAAGCCCCAGGGAAGACCCAGAACACGCTGGAGGGACTATGTTTCCTGACTGACCTGAGAATGTACTGGAATCCTCTCAGAAGTTCTGGAAGAGGTTTCTGGGGAAAGAGAGGTCTGGGCCTCCCCRCTTCTGTCCCTGTGACCCAGCTCCACAATAAGCAGAAGATAACGGACTGATGGATGGATGGATCCATTTACTCCTACCTCACTGATGAGGTTGCGATATGTTTAATGGATTTAATGGATTTAGTGTCACATACGAAAAAGACCTGGGTTGGATTTTTAAAAAAATTTAATGTGTCACATTCKCTGTCATAAAAAAATCCTATGTGTGTTGTATAGGGATTTGGGTCACATTTGCCCGCAGTGTGAATGAACGTAAGTCTCGGCTTGAGCTGTCTCGTAAAATAACCTAGTGACTCAGATACGAGTCAATCAAAACCGCTTCAGGACCTCAACTGGATACTTCTATTTCTGATTATTTCCATTTTAGAGTGAGACTGACAATGTTTCCGACTGTGAACAAAACAACCAAGGCAAATTTGTGGTGGTTTATCTTCTTTGTAGGAGCTTATTGGTGAAGTGTGTTAGCAGTTAGGGCATCAACAACATACTGGTGCGCCACTGTAGCTTTGTTGTTTCAAAGTTGAAACAAGACTGTCTTTGCTGGCCTCATGCCAAGGCTACAATCATGATTGTATCCAGGTCATGGAAACAACCGAGTACGGACCAGTACTTGTAGCTAGTTGACATGGTTTGAAGGGGTCACACAGAGAGAGGAGGATGAGGGACCAGGAGAGCATCTTGGTATCCAATGCAGGAGATTTTTTTTTAGTTTGTCAAGATGCTAATAGATCATGCAGGTTGTGGAGAATACAAGGACACGATCTGTGGATCTGTTGCCCACAGCGCTAATGTTAATATTCCCATCTTTCTCTGTGAAGTCAGAACTGTCAGTAGACCACCTTGGCTCATCTGGCAGGCTCCTCGCATCATGAAGATCTTACTCACTTTGCACTTTGCCAATTTCCCATGATTGAATGTAATTGGGACCAGATAACTCCCTACAACCCCCCCCCCCCCACACACACACACACACACACACTCACTCACACACACACACTGCCTCTCCTCAGCAGTCTTTGATCACTTCTGACCTGGCTGCTGCACAACCCTGACACGCTGGCATCTATTTCTTGGGTGGCTTGTGATTGCTCACAGGCAGACTTTTGAGAWAGGCAGCRTTTTCATGTGCRAGCACATAAATCCAACTTGCAGGAGAGAATATTTCATTCCTTTGTTYCCCCCGCTATTGTTAGAGTTTGCGCAACGAGCTATCACAGATGAGTAGACACATGCAGTTGTTTATCAGTGTTCAAGCACTTTGTGAGTGTCTTGAGGGGAACACAGAACAAGATGTGCACGGAAGATTTTCAAATTTGATTCAGGAGATTTGTAAATCCTGTGCAAATTACGGCTGCCTCCTTCTTTTCTCCCCGCCGTGCTCCTCTTTGAAACTCGTCCTCTGAGGCAATCACTCCCAGATGGAGAATATTAGACGTAATCGCTTCCATTTGCTAGTTCTTTTACTCTCACTGCGAGGTGACATGCTGTCTCCATCTGACATCTCCTCACAATGGACAATTACCGAACACTCATCAATCACTCTCRCAAAGAACTTTGTCACCTCGAATCTGGTAGAAATATTCTAATCCGATACACTGGCAAAATCTACAAATCTGCCTTTGTGAACGATTAGTTTGTGTTCTCATCAGTGGGTGTGAGGGGTTTTATCAATAAGGCACTTTTATTAGAGCATGAAGTACAAACACACTGAAAGTGTTGCTTTTGATTTGATTTTGGATGCAGATTTGGTGAAGGGCATTGGCAGAGCTTTAAAGAAACCCATGTGCCCTGCAGCTTCTCAGCTTCTGAGGATCTTTTTCTCCAACATATGGACGAGATAAAAATCAAAGATCAGCTAAACTCGTGTGAAGTTATCTCACTCTACTCTGAGACTTTATCTGAATCTTTTGAAATTGTACCTTATCCTAATTTCCAAATAATTTCTATTGATCTCCCCGTCCTTCTTGTTCTCTGGTCCAACTGTCAGCCTCCCTGCTTGCTCATCTGCCATCCTTCAGTCTCACTCGCTCATCCCTCTATCCTTCATTCTCTGTGACAGACAATGAAACGAGAATTTCCATGGCTGACCTGCGATTCACCCTGACCTCCACACCGTCCCAAACCACAGACAGTGAGGATGAGGGTGGGTTGTGTGCCCAGGATCCAAGGTGGCGGTCGATGCCTGAGTGTCTCAGGCCAGAATTTGAGTCCTGCAGGCAGGGCTCACCGAGCGAATCTCTCTGTTCCAGAAACACACATCGCTGTGGTGTGAGGTGAGTGGTTAAATAAATAAATAAATCGGCTCGACTGAGAGAGAGAACAGTAAATCCAGCTTTGCTTGTGTGTTTGTTTCGTTGCAGACTCGTGCTTCTCTCCAGTTTTCTCATGAACCTCATTTGACACAGTCACATTGCTGACCTCTGCATCTGTTATCTGGCAAGCAGAACTCACAGTTCATGTGAATCAGATGTTACAAAGAGAAGACTGACTGCTTCTTTGCTGCTTGGCTGTAGGAGGAGCACCTGTTTCCAAATAAATCTTCAGATAAAACCGATGTGTTGTACCTCGATCATGTGGCCAGAGATGTTGAAATCTGATTCCTGACCCACGCTGGCTCCATTTTTTTCCCTCCTTTCTTTTCTTTACTCCCACATGAACTCTTTATCTTGTGTCTCCAGTTCTGAGTTCCCATTTTGCACTGCTCTTATTTTGGCTGTATGTCCTACAAATCTGGATTTAAAAGTGAGTCCAAATCACATGTTTCTCCAGCTGCCTTCCTCACAGAGAGGCTGCTGTGCATTTCTGACCCCTGCGTCCCGGGGTTAATGTAGAGGCCCAGGCAGGCCTCAGTGGTGGAACCATGAACCGTGTCAGGTCATGTCAGCTCCTTGCTCAGCTTCCTTTACTTGAACATAAATAAAGCCAGTCTGGCTTTGTTCCACATCAGCAGCCCCTCTCTATGTTAGCTTTGGCGGATGGCATCTGAACAGGAAATGATTATTATTATTATTATTATTATTATT